CGCCGGAAACGCTACTGGCAATGGCGGCAGTTCCGCTACGGTAAGCGGCAATGTCGCGATACCAACTACCACCTATTCGTTACCGTCTGGTACCCTCTGTCATCCTGGATTGGGTCAGGTCGGGGTCGGTGTCGTCACTGGCTCGATACCCTGCCCATCCGACTTCCCCGACACCAAGGACATCGTCATCGAGGAACTCTGTCCCGTGTGCGGCGACAAAGTATCCGGTTATCACTACGGGCTACTCACCTGCGAATCCTGTAAGGGTTTCTTCAAGCGCACCGTCCAAAACAAAAAGGTCTACACGTGTGTTGCCGAGAGGTCCTGTCACATCGACAAGACGCAACGGAAGCGGTGTCCCTACTGCCGTTTTCAGAAGTGCCTCGAAGTCGGCATGAAGCTTGAGGGTGAGTTTTAACTTCATTGTGAAATTCTACGCAGTGCTACTTTACAGTGGATCTCGAAATTATTCCCGCATTCTTTAACTCTTCGCTTCGTTTTCGTATAATGTCGCAAATATTGTGCGATTTTTTTTTTAATAAATTTGTAACATTTGCTTTTCGTTATTTTTGTTATTATCGCTCATGAGAGTTTAAAAATTCACTAGTAATAATAATAAGAAAGTAGCAGTAAGTGAAATTATGTGGTCCAATTTAAAAACGTTGTTTCAAAGAGCGTGTCAATACATTTCTGATCCACTGTATTTCGTATTTGCCTCCGTATGCTCGTGAACGCGATGCGCGCGCAGCTTTTATATATCGCGATAGATCGAGAAATTGGCGGGACCGGAACGCCTCGTCGTTTCGAAAGCTTCGCGAAACCTTGTTGATAGATCAGGTGCATTAACGTGGAAGGTAAATAATGCGAAGAATTTCGTACTATTGCGCAAGCAGATTTTTATTTGGGCGACGATATGGGTGCTCATTTTTTTGGACGTGAAAGCGATGCATGCGGGTATCGTCGCGATTTTTATGCAGAAGGTGAAAGATCGAAAGCGCGCGCGTATGCACTCGAGTAGATTTCTATGTTCAATTATGCAACATAATATCATGGGACATTTGTATACTCGGATGTAGGCCTTTGTCGGATAAAGTAAGTGTAGCTTTCCACTAAAATACCAGAATTCCTTATACGTCCCATTTCTCTTACGAGAAGCCTAGAGTACACCTGAGTGTTTATACATAAAAAATCTTGCATTGATTAGAATGGATAAAAGAGAAAATAGAGATAGAAATTCATTAACACGTATGTCGACCATCCTTTTTGCATTTTACGACTGGTAACAGACTCGTTATATCTGTGACGAAATATCGCCGGTATGCAAATAATTACTACTGCGAGAATAGATTATTGTTCCCCTTAAAGTTAAATTCTATCGCGGTACAAACACTTTCACTGTGCGTTACGAGTGTCCGGAATCTTTTTTACAATATCACCGTCGTGTTAATATTACCGCATTATTATCGAGTTTTGCGTTATCTCTTATTCAGTATCTTAAACGTGCACTGGGCGATACGTCAAACGTCGTTTACGCGCGAACGCGTGTACAGCGGTTTGCACATCGGTAACGCACGGCTCCTTTCGGCAAACTTCGGCCAAGCCCGTTCGCGCTCGAGCGTTTTCGCATCACGCTCCTACGAACTTAACCTTATTACACACCGTGAAGCGATCAACCGATACTGTCTTCTTTTGCAAATTCTTTCGTAGTTCTAACACTTCTCTGTAATTCAACCAGCAAAAAGAATACTTTGTTCTTTGTTTTTTCCCTTATATTTGCACGATAGCATAAAGTCATTCATTCTAAGAGAATATCACGACCGTGTCACGATCGCGCGTCCACGTTGAACAACCGATTAGGCAAACGGAGTTCTTATATACGCAATAAAGAAATTCACCGTCAGTTTTCTAAAATGCAACGAGTCAGCGAAGTTTCTTTATCACGCCCAAATTTTTATCCGCTTTTTTTATGCATACAGACAGTTTTCACAGAAAATTCTTTTTACGCAAATTTGCTACTTTTGACAGTCATCGTACAAACGTAATGACAGACTCGTGTGTCAGTTACGAATTTGTGGAATCGTGAAATGGATATTATTTAACCCGAATTGGAAAGTAGGGTATATAATGCGAAGCTTAAGTACCGCTTCGTTAGCAAAGGGTTAAAATGTTTGAGCAGTTTACGCGCATTAATAGGAGGACGATTCGAATGAAGCGTCTAATGCAATTCGAGTAACTGGGTCTAGGCCCTCAAGGCCCAGCGATTAAGCGAATCTCGAAACAGGCTCTGTCGCAATTGCCGCCTTTGCACGCCGTTTTCCACGGCGTTCCTACAGCGGCAACGGGATTGCTTAACGCGGAAAGTTTCCAGAGTGCTTGCGAGCGTTTACGAAAGGAAGCAGTTTCTTACTTGCACGCTATTCAGAAATGTAAAAACGTCCGCGTATGAAGTTTACATCGATTTGCTATAACGGGCCGTGTGGCTCTTCCAATTACTTGATGTATTAGTTAATACATCTTGGGTTAGAAATTTAAGACGTTGGGAGAAATTTTCAAATATTCTCACATCTTTAAAATTTGATTTAGTAATTTTGGAATTTAACAATTTATAAATTTAGAGTTCCATTTATGGGTGTGGGACTTCTAAATTTCCAAATTTTCAAAGTTCAAAATTCTGTAGTTAGAACGTGTGCAATTCCAATATGTAACAAATACAACGCGTGGAATTACAACGCGTGGAATTACAGCGGGTGGAATTACAACGCGTAGAATACCAATACATAGCAAATACAAGGCGTGGAATTCCACTACGTATGTAATACAACGCGTGGAATTATAACGCGTGGAATTACAACGCGTGGAATTCCAATACATAGCAAATATCACGCGTGAAATTCTAGCGCGTGGAATTCCAGCGCGTGGAATTTCAGCACGTGGAATTCCAGCGCGTGAAATTACAACGCGTGGAATTACAGAGCGTGAAACTCCAATACATAGCAAATACTACGCGTGAAATTACAGCGCGTGGAATTACAACGCGTGGAATTCCATTGCATAGCAAATATCACGCGTGGAATTACAGTGCGTGGAATTACAACGCGTGGAATTACAGAGCGTGGTGGAATTACAGAGCGTGGAATTACAGAACGTGGAATTACAGAGCGTGGAATTTCAACTCTCAAAGTCCCCAATTTAAAAATTGACACATTCGCAAATTCTAATTTTTCAAGTTCTGAATTTCCAACTTCCTATATTACCAATTTTCTATATCGCTAAATTGCCAAATTTTCAACCATAAAAATTTCCAAACGTAATATTTAAATTTCAAGTATCCCTAAATTGAGATAAGTGCACGTATTAGCAGTCACGTAAGAGTATAAGTCTTTCGCAGTCAAAGGGTTAAATAGCTGGTCTGCGATAACACCTGTCACAGTTCTGCAACGGACCTGCCGTTTGCAGTGGTCCGTGAATACGAGAACGAGGCTCATTCAACGTAATGAACGTTATGGATCTGCTTTATAACCGATTGAAAACCATCCTCTCCTGGAAGCCATAAACCCATCAAGCATGCAACTTTTATTGATACAAAAGATTGTAAAAGTCTGGGAAACGGGGCCGTTATTGCTTTGACATTTTATTTATTTTATTTGAAGAGTTATTAACAGTTTTATGATACTGTTTGATTAAAAGGATCCGGGGGTTGTGAGAGAGCTTTTATGTCAAAGGTGAAAACCACCCTGGAGGGTTCAACTTGATAGGTTACTTTTACACGTTGATTGCAAAAACAGTGTGTAGTAAAACGTATGTAGTATTGTGTGTTGAAGCTGCAATTTTATTTCTGATATTCTACACACTTTTTCGCGTATTTTCGAAACAAAAGTGTTTAAAGGGTAGTTGGGTATAAAAGGGTTAAATAACCTGTTAAAGATTTTTGATTAGCTATTACTAATGAGGTTTCTTTTGGGTAAATCGATAGTGTTCTAATACGTAGCAAATATCACGCGTGGAATTTCAGCGCGTGGAATTCCAATACCTAGCAAATACTACGCGTGGAACTACAACGCGTGGAATTCCAATACATAGCAAATCTCACGCGTGGAATTCCGGCACATGGAATATCAGCGCGTGGATTTTCATCGCGTGGAATTACGGCACGTAGAATTACGGCGCGTGGAATTATGGTGCGTGGAATTCCAGCGCGTGGAATTACAACTCGTGGAATTCCAACACATAGCAAATACTACGCGTGGAATTACAACGCGTGGAATTCCAATACAATAGCAAATACTACGCGTGGAATTACAACGCGTGGAATTCCAATGCATAGCAAATACTACCGCGTGGAATTACAACGCAATGCATAGCAAATACTACGCGTGGAATTCCAATGCATAGCAAATACTACGCGTGGAATTCCAATGCATAGCAAATACTACGCGTGGAATTCCAATGCATAGCAAATACTACGCGTGGAATTACAACGCATGGAATTTCAATATATAGCAAATATCACGCGTGGAATTACAGTGCGTGGAGTTACAGCGCGTGGAATTACAACGCGTGGAATTACAACGCGTGGAATTACAACGCGTGGAATTACAGCGCGTGGAATTATGGCGCATGGAATTACAACGCGTGAAATTACATCGCGTGGAATTACAACGCGTGGAATTCCAATGCATAGCAAATACTACCATGGAATTACAACGCGTGAAATTACATCGCGTGGAATTACAACGCGTGGAATTACAGCGCGTGGAATTCCAATGCATAGCAAATACTACGCGTGGAATTCCAATGCATAGCAAATACTACGCGTGGAATTCCAATGCATAGCAAATACTACGCGTGGAATTACAACGCATGGAATTTCAATATATAGCAAATATCACGCGTGGAATTACAGTGCGTGGAGTTACAGCGCGTGGAATTACAGTGCATGGAATTACAACGCGTGGAATTACAGCGCGTGGAATTACAGCGCGTGGCAAATACTACGCGTGGAATTATTACAACGCGTGGAATTACAACGCGTGGAATTACAACGCGTGGAATTACATCGCGTGGAATTACGGCGCGTGGCCGGCGTGTATTGGTCGTTTAATGAGGTTTCTCTTGGGCAAATCGATGAAGCTTCTTTTCGTATTCCAAAAAGCCAGCTAAACAAGCTGTGCACACTCGTTAAAGCGTGGTTCAACAGCATCGAAACAGCGTATACGTTGGATTTTTAATTTCACTTTCGAACCCAGACATCGTCATATGTGTACGGACATGATCAAATATTGACACTGGGCGTTCAATTTCGCAGCTGCGAATAATTTGACTGCTCGTTCATCGTCCTTATATCCATTCTACGTTTTTTCCGTGTCTTTACGAAGAATTATTTTACTCTCCGTTCGATTCCGTCGAG